AAACAACCTGGGGTAAAGCTCCAAGCCCTGCAGAGTATATTTAATAGGCAGCACCACAACAAATTAAAAAGAAGGATCCAAACAATGGCATCTCCTGCAGGAGGAGCAGTGGCAGCTCCCCAGGACGGGAAATGGCCGTGCTGGAACAGCAGCGATTTTCAGGGAATTACTGGCGTGCTGTGTTTGGTTTGCTGTCTCCCACCTTGCGTTTCCCAGACTGTATCAAAGCACAGACTATAACAGCTCCAATTTCTCTCACAGCAGCTACACCATGTGAGAAAAATTGACAGATTAAATAGAATGTAGCTGCCAAAGCAACTGTGAACTATGGCTGCCCGAGAGAAGAAAATGATGTTCCTGAGTATCATGTTAAGAAGAGCTTTTGTGATCAAATGCAACAAGAGTCCATTTCATTATAAGGCACTTTAAAAAAAAGCAGAAAAAGCAATTTTTCCCCTCAGCCCAGAGAGCTCCTGCAGCTCACACAACCATCCTGCCTCCCCACCCGAGGTACAAGTGCCACACACGGAACAAACACACACCTTGAATTTCTCTGGGCTGTGGGCACTTCTATTTTGATGAATTCTCAAGCCCAACCAGCTTCAAGAAAGGAGGGAAAAAACCCCATATGTGTCCCTAACAAAAATTGATGATGCCGTGGTAAATGAGCCCCTCTCTGGGCTGACGAGGCGGGCGCTAATCCAGCCCCAGCCCTGCGAGTTCAGTGCTTTATCAACGCTGACATGCACATGCCTAAGTGCCACTGACATCTGCATACATGCCTTATTTATCTTGCTCTGCCTTCATTAAAAGGACAAATTGATGTCTCAAACATTTTAAGCTCGTCACAGAAATCTCCCAGGCTCAGCAGAACGTGCCCCACCGCAGCTTCAGAGGCCACGTGCGCTCTGGCGGGTGGGCAGGGGATGGGGAGATAAAGGGGTTTTATGGTTTGTTTATGAAAAAATAAATGCTTGTCATACCCCACACTGAGAATCCACAATCCCAGAATGGGATACCACAGAATTCCAGAATGATTTGGGTTGGAAATGACTCTAAAGCCCATCCAGTGCCACCCCTGCCATGGGTAAGGACACCTTCCACTGTCCCAGGCTGCTCCAAGCCCCAGTGTCCAACCTGGACACTTCCAGGGATGATGTTCCTCACTATCATGTTAAGAAAAGCTTTTGTGATCAAATGCAACAAGAGTCCTTTTCATTATAAGGCACTTTAAAAAAAAAGGCAAAAAAAGCAATTTTTGGGGCCTGCCCACCCTCCTAGAGAAGGATTTCACCCCAATATTCCATCTAACCCTGCTCTCTGGCAGTGGGAAGCCATTCCCACCTGTCCTGTCTCTACATGCCTTTGTAAACAGCTCTCTCCATCGAGATTTGCAACTTCAGCCTGCATTAAACTAAAGATAACATGAAAAAAGGGTTTTTTAACAGCTCATAATTTTGCCATTGGGATAAAAATTGTAATAATCCATTTGTAGGCTCCATTCCTGTGAAACTGCCAATAAGTGTGATTTCATCAGCCCTTTGTAAAAAAGCAGTGAATAAAGCAGTGATTTTGGGAGGTCTGACAGAGGCAGGTGGAGAAAGCTCTGATGTTCTCTGGAGATGGGTGGGACAAGAGCTCCAGAGCCTGGCTGGGCAGCACAGCTCTTCCAAGCACAGGTGAAATGGGTGTTTTAATGAACCAGCTAAATTTCTACAGCTTCAAACTCAGCACAACTCCTGGTGACTGGTTTCTGGGTGGACTCTGGTCCTTCATTAGCAAAGTAAACACCAGAGTCAAACCACAGCATCTTTGGAGGGAAGAGATGCTCCAAACCCTTCAGGAATTTGCCATTTAGGTGACTTTTACAAGGCAGCAGAAAGAGGAGAAACCATCAAAACTTCAGCCATCCAAGCCAGCACTGAGACTCCTCTTGAGCTCAGCCCTCCCCACAGAGCCTCCCGAGCTACTCAGTGTGACAGGATCCCAATTCCAAACTGAAACACAAATATTAATCCAACAACTGACTCTCAAGGTTCTCTCTTTTGCCTGGATTTTTCAGATTTTTTCCTAACTAATGCAGTTTCTTAATCGTAAAGATTAATTTCTGCATTGCAAATAGGGGACAGGTGAGGGAGCAGAACAGCAGAACTTGCACCTCACAAAGGCTCAGCAACTTGTAGAATGTTCAAATACTTCAATTATACCTCAGATAGAGCACCCTGGTCTGTACAAACTGAATGCTCAAAGTAATGTTAAGCAGCTGATTTTAGATAAGAAAGGCAAGAGTGGTTCAAATCAAACAGAGAATTTATAATTAACAAAACCCTGAGTAATCTCTGGCTTCAAGCACTGCTTGTGGCTCCTTCAAGCTGCAAGAGGGAACAGAGGGGAAGGCAGGAAAAATCCCTGTTTTTCCTAAATTTCAGTCAGACTTTAATTTTGGAAGCAAGGCTGCTTCTTGGTTTCGTTCTCAGAATTCTTCTGCCATTTCCAGTTATCCCACATCAGTGCTATGCACCCCTCTGCCAGGAGTGATCACAGGGAGGTAATTCAGCATCTCCCATGGTCTGGATGGGTTTCATGGAGCCCTTTGGGTGCTGATAACAATTACACAACATTTTTGTGGATATATTCCGCTCCACCTGCAACCACCTTATTTCTAGCTTGTTATCTTAGAATCTCAGAATGGTTTGGGTTGGAAAGGAGCTTAAAGCTCATTTCATTCCATGCCTTGCCATGGGCAGGGACACCTTCCACTATCCCAGATTGCCCCAAAACCTGTCCAACCTGCCCTGGGACACTTCCAGAGCAGCCACAGCTTCTCTGGGCAACTCCTTACCCACCAAAGTGATTTCACCAAGTGATTTTAAGGAGGGACATAAGCACTGCACGTGAATGAAACCAAGCCAAGTCAGCTGCAAACATTCACAGATCTCCCGTGCTTCAGTCAATGATTTCTGCAAACCTTGAGTGGCTGCTGGAATCTGTCACCATTTCCTGCTGCTTTCACTGCTCCAAAGAAACCAAAGAGATGGAGCTGAACCAGTCTGCACTGGGCCCAGCACTCACACCAGCAGCTCTGCTAATGAGGGTGCAGCTCAATAAATGGTGTTCCACACAGATTCAAGGACTAAAGGAACAGCTGTACACTTGTACTCGTCTTGGTACAAATTTTCTGTTTCAAAACATAATTATAGGCCGGGGGAGTAAGGAAGATAGAATAAGAGCATGATGAACGTTACAAAAACTACCAGGAAAGCAATTATTTCCAATCAAAGTGTGCTGGATTAGCCCAGAAGCATTTTTCTTTTGAAGCCTTACAAGTTATCTGATGGGAGCTGAAGTGTTTGATGAGCTCAGCTGGTGAGCACAGGGGGACAGGGCAGGGGGGACACCTGGCACAGGTAGGGAGGGATCTCTGCCCTCAGACAGGGCTGGGGATGCTCCTCTGAGCCTCTCTCTGCTCTCTCCCTGCCAGGATCAGCTCTCCAGACAGGCAGCACATTTAATAGAAGGGAAATGATTTCGGATTACAGTGATCAATGCTGGAAAACAGTGACCCGGGGATACGAAGCTACAGTTCATAAAATACCAGCAGAGATTATCACACTCAAAGTACTTCCATTTCAGTTGTTCTGACCTTCAATTGGAGCTGATTTCTTTTTTTTTTTTTTCCCTCCTTAAGCCCTTTAAATCTTCTGTTGAAAATACCACGGTGTTGAAGACTGGCCTGCAGCAGCATTTAGAGGATTTCCCTCTTGCACGGCTCCATCCAAGGCAGGTGCTGGGATTCCTCCCACAAGGGGTGGCTGGTTCAAAGCCAAAAGGACTCTTTGAAAACCCCCAGAGCAATCTCATTTCAAGACTAGCACGTGCATCCATAAAGCAAGCTTCACTCACACTGCCTCTGCTCCGTTCTCCCTCTGAATAAATCCTGGAACATGAAGATGCTCTGCAGAGATGCTGCTGCTCAGCAGAACGAGCCTGCTGAGTGTTGCCAACACCAGAGGCAGCAGAAAGACAGGAGGAATGGGAAATGTAAGGGAGGTCCTGTCAGTCATTTCTCTAAAAAAAAAAAAATAAACCAATAAAACAGAGTCTGACAAGAACATTCAGCTGTTGTTTGGTTTCTGGGGCAATGCAGTATGCAAGTGGTCAATGGCTGCTCTTTCCTGGAGATAAATGTGCCCATAAAAGCATTTTAAATCATGGAGGACATTACTCACAGCAATGCTGAATGATGGACGTGCCAGCTACGGAGGTGATTCCTTTGCTGAGCTGCTCTGCAGAGCAGCACAAGTGCTCAAACCAAAATAAGCTCCTCACACCTACAACACTTCTGAGAAGACTCATAAAATAAGACAAGATAAACCACGTTTTAGGCTAAGGAGTTCATGTGTGCTCACCAGAACCGAGATGACAGATGTGTCTGTCTGCAGCCAGCCTCCTCCTCAGCCAGAAATAAAACACACAGCAAACACAGCCGGGCTGCTTGCTGTCATCCCTCATTGTTCACATCTTTGAGGAGATAACCCAGGCCCTGCAAACAAGCAAAACGCTCCTAAAACCACCCTGGAGCTGCCTTTATGAAATGGCTTTTCATTCTCTGCTTTTCCATGCAAATACTCTAAATAAGTGGGGAAGATTCCCTGGAGAAAGGCACCAATATTAAAAGCTCTGGGCATTCTAAGGAGGGTCTTTATTCCAAGCTGATCTCCACACCCAACCCCTCTCCAGCAGATTTCTCTGCAGACACATCCAAATGTCACACAAGACAATTTTATGGTCAAATCATGCCTGGCTTCACCAGCTCCTATTTCCCCAACTGCCAGGGCCACCCCTGCAAGAGTTAAATTCTGTTGTAATAAAAAGCAAAAAACTTATTTCCAACCCTTGGCCCACCTTCCAGCTCAGTAAATAGCAGGGGAATTATTTAATGCAAATAAACTCCATTTGCACTATTCCTAACCAGCAAAACATCCAGTGGAGCCTTGAAGAGCTCCCTCTCCCAGGATGTTCACTGATCCTGCTGTTAAATGCATTATTTCTGCCCCACCCATGGGAAATAACAGATAAGGAAGGATTTAGAAATGAATGAGGTGGTCAGGGCCTCCTCAGATGAGACCTTTAAGTCAACACAAACAAATGGTGTGGCCTTTCTGTACTTCAGAGACAAAGATAAATATATAAATAAATGAATACAGATATTTTCATTCTGAGCCTCTCCCACCCTCCTGCCTGCCGTCTGTATTTTGAACCCTTGCAGATCAATGGGGCTGTTCTGGTTTACTGGAGCTGCTGCTCGTGGTGCCCCAGTCCCTGCAGAGCCTCCTGGTGTGCTCTGGATCTGGGCAAAAAAGAAAAATTAAAAAAAAAAAAAAAAATCACCTGGATTTGTTACTAATAATCTCTTAAAGTGTTTTCCACTCTGCATTTTGGGCCCCACATGATGAATTCACCTGAACACTCTTTATTCATCTTCCTCTTGAGCTGATGCCTGGGGCTGATCTGGTCTCTGAGTGGGACCCAGAGCCTGAGCATCCTCCAGCTGCACCTGGAAGCAGCAGGAACACCAGAAAAGCACCCCTGAACCACCCTGAGAACACAAAATTACGATTCTGCTCTCAGCTTCACACAGCTCCTCATCTCCACCAGCCTAACCCAGAGGAAAAAGGAGTTTTAGCCACGTAATTAAGCCCAAGGAGTGATCATGGAACCAAAGTCAGTCCAGAATTAGTTACATCAGTAACTAATGAAGAGCTTTCACAAAGAAAGATGCTCCACCAATTTTAATCATAACTCAGGCACTGTTTTGCTACCCTAAAAATGAAGTGGCTTTCTGAAATAATGAGGTTATTGTACTTCATTAAGTGAGAAAAAATTAATTGGGTTCACAAGAAAAGCAACACTGTGGTTAAACCCGGCTTTGCCTTTCTGATAAGCAAATATTGGGGGGAAAAAAATACACTCAAGGAAGGGAACACCATCCCTGGCAGCCAAGAGCAGTGGGGTTATGTAAACAGAGTACAAGCTGAGCAGGAGATGTAGAAAAGGAGGATAAATAGGAGAGAATGAACTTCTGGAGCAGCATCTTCAGCAAGCACAGAGCAAACCAGAAGAACTGTACTCAGAAAAATTTGGTTTTGTGCATCCACTGCAAATTGTTCAAATGACCAACTTTAGTTTGCAAACGAAGGGGAGGAAATTCAGCTTTTGGGATCAGATATTGTCTGCTCCTCACATTTAAGGGACAATTAGTGCCTGTTTTGAGACTGTGATTGAAAGAACAGGACAAACACAAGGGAAAATCTGTGTTTTGCAAGGTGTCTGTGGGATCATGGTGGTCCCAGCTCTGTCCAACACCCTCCAAGCACCCTGAGATATTCTGTACCATCACCTGAAGGGTTCCACATCTGCTGGGACACTGCTCGAGGCAGATAATCAAATTATCCAGAATCAGAGCGAATGAGACAGAGGTGAAGCTGTTAAAAACCACCCATCAACCTAAAGGTCAGGGCCCCTGGCAACGAAGAGAAAGAATTATTCCTGCAGTCCTCAAACAGATTTATCCTGGATATAAAGCAGGACCATTTACAGCTCAGCAAAATTTGAAAACTGGGAGTAAAGCACATTACAAGCTTTCTTAATTCAATTTTCCCTGGCATTTATTGTGGTTAATAAAATACCCAAATGTCATCGAGATTTATAAAAATGTATTTATAGGTTAATAAAGGCGTAAAATGGATTATTCAGAAAAAAACAGCTTACAGAAAGCCTAAATGGATACAGATTTGGGGGTTGCTGCCTGTCAGGGGGGTAATTAGTGCTTATTTACACAGATTTTCCTTCCCTGTGAAAATACAGCCCTGAATTCAGAGTTCAGGCTCAGTGTTCTCTCCTCTGTGAACTTTTATGCACCAAAATAAAGAATAAAGGTTCCTCCAAAGATCCTTTGTAGATTCTTTTGGGAATCCAACCCTATTGCTTGGTAAAACAAAGACCATAAATACCAAAATTCAGGATGAAGATTTGCCTGGGCTGGAATGGTGACAAATAGAGAAAAGAGGTTCTGTTTTGAGTTCAAGGAAATAACTTTGAATAAGAAAAATACACATTAAAGCATGCTGGAACAAGGCTGGAAGCACTGATGGGAGTGACAGTCTCCATTTCAACATTTTGATGAAGTATTTCCAGAGAGTGACTCAGATTTTTTGCTAAATAGGCACAAAATTTAAAGTATTTATTGGCTTTTTCCAGCTGTGCCAATAAACTACTTTGGATGGTTCAGTGTTTGGTCTGTGTGCACACACATACACAAAAAAATGGATTATTTCCTTTCCTCACTTCCTCACATGCTGGATTACAAACATGCTCTGCTCTCCAAGCAAAATTCTAAGTATAGAGAGGGAAAAAAAAAAAATATTATAAAATAATATAAAAATAGTAAAAATAATAGAATATACAAAAATAATAAAAATATGAATAACAATTTAAAAATTAAAATAGATAACAGTTTAAAATTAAAATGATGGCATAATTAAAATTATGATAAAATCATATCAAAAATATAAAATACACACATATATGTATATATAAAAAAAACCTACAAACCCATACTGATCCCAAGAAAATTTTGTCCTTTTTGCCCCACTTTTAACAAACCCTCCTGGAAAAATCCTGTCAAATATTAGGTTTTCTCTCTCTGCTCTTCATCCTGAATAATTCAAGTTCAACTTTTTCATTTCTGATTCCAGATCTCAGTCTCACCCCGAGCCAGAACTTCCTTGAAATAAACTTTAATGTGCTTTAATAATCTCCCTGCTAATGCTGGTGATTGGCAACGCTCTGGTTTTAACAACTGCTGCAACACTGAGTGTAACCAAAGCTTTTATTTGTAATTACTGCTCTGAGCTGAATTCTGGTACAATCCCATTTATATCCAAATTATTTCTAATGAACGTTGGGCCGCACCAGACTAGAGGGCTACATGTTTAAAAGAAAATGGATTAATATTTTATTTTCAAGCCATTTCAAATGCATTTCTGTAACTAATAAAGAAACAAAAAAAAGCCCACATCAAGGTCTTGCTATGATAATTGACTGAAAAGGGGATTTTCTAACTCACGGAGCACTGCATGAAGTTTTTTGCTCATTAGAGCACAAGTACAGCAGAGATTTATGGACACAAATAGACACAATTTCAGGAAAAGCAGAGAGAGGGATGCACACACACAAATAACATAAAACACAGCAACTTATGGGATGTGCTGAGCCTTTTAAGCAATGGGAGGACAAACATTTCGAGGCACTCATCCCTTCTAAAAGGTATTTAATAGAATGGAAAAGCCTCACGTTTCCCAGAAAGCTTTCATGTACAGCTCATCGTTTTTAGACAAATGCTTTCTGAGCCCTCACTAATACAGTAAGTTATAAAAATTCTTGGCAATGTCGTTCTCATTCCAGAAGCTGCCATTTTTTAATTGACACTTCTGCATTATACAAGTAAAGGACACTGCTTTTTCCTATTTTTTTAATACCTTCATTTCCCTTAAAACTTATCAGGGAATTACAGACATTTCCAGGCATTAGTCTTAAAAGACATTAGCAAAGAAACATTTCAGGCCCTTAATGCCATGAGTTTTAGCAGTTGCTGAGCTTTTCCAAAGCCAAAATAAAACTCAAAATGTCCTATTTTAACTTGCAAACAAAATATTACAGTGAGGCCAGCTGGAAATTTTGCTTCTTTCAGCAAGGCTCCAGTCCATGAACAAACACAGCCCCAGATTATCAGTCAGGGGAAATATCCAGTCCTGGGGAGCCCAGCATTATTCCCAGCAGGTAAAACACATCTCACATGTAAGAATTTTGTTATTCCAGAAATTTCATTATTTCTGTTCAGCACTGAACACTTCCACTTCATTTCAAAACCTTGTAAGACACAGAAACATCCTGGCAATGCCAAATGTCTTTGTTCCAAGCTAAAATTGAGATTTCTGAGATGGACAATGACCACCATTCCCACACTTTTTATCACAACCAGCACAATTGTTTAATTATAATTATTTTTAGAAACATTTCCCCACATTGCCACTGAGATGTGGGGGTGGGAACCCCAGGGGTCACTCCTACCTTTTCCAGATCTTTAACTTTTTGGGATTTTAAGCTACACACAACCCCCAAATTTTTAGCTTCCCTTCTTTCCTCCATCTGCAGTCCCATTCTCTAATTAGCTCTAATTAAGATTTGCATCATTAGCCTTTGGTCTTGTCCCTGGGTGCTCACCCATCCCTTGGGGCTGACACAGCAGGGAAGGGGAGATTCACTCCAGAAGAACTCCCAGGAAATGTCACAGTCACAAAAATTCCACTGTCAGAAAAAGTTAAGGTTTATTCAAAGCCCTTTTTGAGACAAAAAACTGAGACTGGAGATTCCACAAACTTTTCTTGGCAGCTTCTGGGCCTTTCAAGTGACAGCTTTTCTAAGGCAGTCAAACAAGAAAGTGCTCACTGCATCCTCCCTCTCTCTGTGCAGCGTTTTGCCTCCAGACTGAATTACATATTCTGCAAACTCTACTTTTTCAGAATGGCTTTCAAGAAAAAGGGGTAAATTTTTAGATGATCCAATTAATTTAGTCAGGACATGGCTGTCCTAATTAATCCTGCATGATTCAAAGGCTATTTATGCAGTACAGCTGCAAGCACACAAAAAACGTATTTATCATAAAAAAACACCCTTAGAAAATAAAGTTTCCTGTCTTGGTCCAAAGTCCATTTGACCCACTGGAAAAATACCACCAATTTGGAAGGAGGCTTTTAGAGCAATTTGCATTATTTTTAGGAAAGATTATCTTAAAGCCAAGATTCTGAAAGACTCTTCAGAAGTCTAAAGCACCACTCGAGACCAAGTCACAAAAGCTTTCTGCAGACAAAATTCTCATTACAATCAGCAGGGGTTTGCTCTCCTAATGAATATTTGAGTGAACTGATTGGAGTGCTCAGCTTTGGAGGTGGTTGGAG